CACACACACACACACACACACACACACACACACACACACACACACACACATAATTCTCTCTCGCGCGAGGATTTTCTGGGATGTTTCGAACCCAAGTAAGGAGATATTCTTTCGAAAAATTCCTAGCTAGTGCACCCTCATCTCTCTCTCTCTCTCTCTCTCTCTCTCTCTCTCTCTCACACACACACACACACACACACACACACACACAATTCTCTCTCGCGCGAGGATTTTCTGGGATGTTTCGGACCCCATTTACGGCGATGTTCTTTCGGAAATTTCCTAGCTAGTGCGACCTCATTTCTCTCTCTCTCTCTCTCTCTCTCTCTCTCTCTCTCTCTCTCTCTCTCTCTCTCTCTCTCTCTCTCTCTCTGTGTCTCTGTGTGCCGCCCGCGGGGGCGCGCGCGCTGGCTCGCTCGGTGTCACGTTCCTTTGTGTCTGTGCTTGAGCTTTCATCTTTTTTTTTAATTTTAATTTCGAATCAATTGAGACTGAGGCCGGGGACCTCACAATTCCCCCCGGAGGTACTGAGAGCATGACTCGGCCTCGCTTGCAGCTCTGGCAGAGCTCTGGCAGAGCCAAGAGCTGCTGGAACACAACGTCAAACGAAAAACGTCAAAAATCTTTTCATAGCTCTCGCCGCAGTTACACACGTTCCAACAACATCGATTTTTATGCGTGTCATCCTTGAAAGCGCAGGGGCCATGCTAATCTTCCCCTTCTCTGTATTTCAGAGCGATATCAACGAACTACGGTTACCGTAGGCCTATCCCACTCCTATGCTACCGCTCGCCGCTGTTCCTACACTAACCAGCCCTAGCCGCGGTTCGACCCAAGCCTGTATGTATGGCTGGGTGGTGTGGAGCATATGCTCGCACACTGTGTGACACTTCCACCCGCTATCCCTTAGGTAGTCCAGTGCGTCTGGATTGATCTTTTTTCGAAAAAAGATCTTTTTTTTTTTTCTTTTTTTTTTCTTCCTGTTGGTTAATGAAATGGCGTGGCTGTGCTCCTGGAGCTTTCCGTCCCTTCGGCCTTAATCATTTTTTGTCGTATTCGCTGTTACGCGGAGGCTGACCATTCCGTTCAATGATTCATGAACTGCAGCACCGTCGACTGGTTGCTGTTATCAGTTTTAGAGCTTATAACTTATGTAAGTCTCTTTTTTTTTTTTTTTTTTT